TTTTTTTTGTATTCTCATTCGCAGCCATACCCTACATTTGGATGGCACTAGATCACACCTCTATTTTCCTACTACTTACCAACTATTGTTGCCGATGCATCGGAATTACTACTTCGGCTATTCATAACTTGTATAGGTACCGCGATAGCTGCGGCTGCAATACCTAGACCACTGCAGATTCCCAAAGTAATTAGAAGCATCTTTATGAGTTTCTTTCTTTTTTTCATCTTTTCTTTTCCATCATATCTGTTAAAATATACAAACAAGATGATCAGAAGCATTATTATTATGTAAAGATACTGACCTTGAAGCAAAGATTGATGGAATAGATGGGATATTGTCTATGTTCGTCTGAATATTCGATGGTTGCACTTTGTTCTATACATAAAAATAAATAATTGAAATTCACTCTTACTCATTCTCATCAGATTTCACGTCAACTGTCTTTGTTTCTATCTTCTTTTTTAATATTTATACATTTTCTCAGTTTTGTCAAGGGGCCTGTTGGAAATATGTTCTTTCTATGATACGTTGAAAAATCAGTAGAGAAAAACAAGTATTGACTGACCTGTATAGAATTTATGTTTGACGTTGACGAATTAGCATTTTCCAATTCATGCACATTGAGTCTCTGCATAATAAAAAGAAACAAATAAATTTACTAGAATCCATCTTTAACGTTTTACTTACACGCATGATCACTGTATCTTATGAATTTATTAACGACGACCTTCTTTCACCTGAGACACTCAATAAAAGAATGTTTCATATTCAAAGGCATACACAAAAAACATCTCTTTAACAAGAGAGTGAATGTTTGTTTTTGCCTGTTAATCGATGGATTCTATTAGATTCCCATTAAAATCAACTTTAATGTGTTTAGTTAAGATCATCTTTGGCTTCGAAAGTTGTCCAGGATTGTATGCAATCCATTAGTGTTTCACTTTTCGTATTGATATTTAAATTATTTTAATCGTTCTATTTGATGTGTCCATACATGTCTTCGTGAATAATAAACTCGAGAATTTTTCTTGTTTCGGACATTAAGGTCAATCACATGTTGAGATTCTCGATAAAATATTAATAGCCATACAATTGTAGATTAGAGAAAATTTGAAATTTGTTTTTCTTTTGATTGCTGTCAACTATTAACGACTGTTTTTTCTCTTTTATTAATTGTTACGATAAACAAAACATTACCTATGAAGTTGTTCTATTGCATACTTTTGATAAAATGATTATTTTGTTGAGGGTGAGAATCAGTGACGAAATTATATTCATGTCGCACTAATACTCATCTAGATTCTCGAGGGTGGATATGGGTGTGATTATTTACACTCTTAATCCACACCCACACCCACATACTCTAATGAAGAAAAAAAAATCTTGAGGATGGGTGTGAGTATTATATTTATCTCATCCACACTAACACTCACTCCTATACTCAGTTCACATAAATCCATAGCTGTTCACCTTTGAGATTTGTATAAAACAATTATCAAATCATTGACTGAATTTTCAGAGATTTTAATCATTTTATTTTCACAAAATTTATTTGATAAAAAAAGGAATTTTTAATCAATTCATTTCTTTTCATATTTCATGATTCGATGATTTCCCCAATCAACAACATAAAGATTCTCTTCATCATCAAACGACAAACCATATGGATTATTCAATTGATTTGATTCATCTCCTTGACCATTTTTACCAACAATAATTTCGCCTTCTTTAGCTCCTTGACACCAACGCATTACTCGATGATTTCCACCATCTGCCACATAGATTTGACCTAAATGATCAACGATTACTCCTTGTGGTTCAGACAATTGTTTGAGGCTAGATCCTTTTCCTTTTCCACCAGCAACAATAATTCCTTCTTTTGCATTTTTTGCCCATTTCATCACACGATGATTGTACCAATCTGATACATAAAGAGAATCATCATCATCGACAAAGATAAAACCAGGACAATTCAGTTGATTGTGATCACTTCCTTTTTCATTTCCACCTGCAACAACTATTCCATTTACATCTCCTTCTTTCCATTGTCTCACGTCATTTTTCACAATATCAGAAACATAAATAAATCCATTTTTATCTATTGACAAACCAAAACAATCAATATCCGAAATAAGAATTTGTTGTATTCTTTGATTTTGTAGAGACCATCTTATCACTCGCCTGTTCCCAGTATCAGCAATGATCAAAGAATTATTTTGTTTATCAACAATAATATCTGTTGGACGAGACAATTGATCGTTTCCACCAGCAATGATTTGTACATTGTTCGAATCATGTTTCCATTCGGTAATACGATGATTTCCGAAATCAGCAATAAAAAGATTGTTGTGATGATCAATAAAGATCCCATTAGGAGAAGACAGTTGGTTTAATTGATCTCCTTCTTCATTTCCCCCCGCAGAGATAATTCCATTTTGTTTCCATTTGATTTGTTCTAAAAGTATAAAGAAAAATTGAATTATTCTCTTTTTTAACAAAGTTTTTCAAAGAAATCTTGAGGGTGTGGGTGTGTGTGCTGTGTTCTTCTTTTACCCAGACCCACATCCAGTTTGAAGTAGAAATGAAATAGTGAGACGAAGGAAAGTGAAGAAATTAAAATCCCGATGAAAATCGAAAAGTTGCGTGTGGGTGTGGGTTTCAGAATTATACCCGCACCCACACCCTCACCCTTGATTTTCTCTCAATTTCGCCAACTAAAATCATTCTGAAGGAATATTTTGAGAAAACACTTCTCACATAAAACTTTGCGTTCGCTAAGATCTTCCATCGATTGATGAAAAGTGCAGATTCTTTTGACTTTTCGTTTCAAACTAATGATCTGTCATTAATTCGAATTCAATCGATTAAATTATTCTTTCTCAAAATTAAAGATTTTCGTTGGTTAATGAAGGACGAATGAAAGTAACTCACGTGATGCTCTTGGATTTGATGTGACACTTAAATTCTTCATAGGCGATGTTACTAATTCATCATCATCATCGTTATCATCAATTTCAATTAAATGTACAATATGTGACTGATTCGACTGTTCTAATGGATCGCTTTTAACACGAAACTGTGTTCCAATTTTCAAAACAATTTCATCTTCACCTTCATATGCTGTGTAACCAGAAACTTTTTTTCCATTCATAGTTTCAATTAAGAAAAGAGTTGAAGATTTATTATGTCCGATAAAACTTTTAATAACATTAACTGAAGATGAACAAGAACTAACCGTCCACCATGTTAAAAGTTGATTTTTGGTAAAATTCTTTCCAATATCAAGAGGAATACCTCTCCATACACTTTCTATCATAGTTGGTAATTTATCTAATGCCGTATCGAATAATTTTAAATAAGGAAACCATATTTTAATATTTTGTCTATTCTCATCTCTAAGTGCTTTATTAAGAAGACGATATAAACTTGTTTCATCCCATTCCATTGTATAAATATAAACAGTAGCTGATTCATCACGTGTTAAACCATGTTCTGATGGGTAATGACAATATTTTTTAGCTGTTTTTATATAACCTTTTAAATCATTAATTTGTGATTCAATAGGTTCTAAAGCTTTTTCAATTGAAACAAGTTGTTGATTTTGATAACCATAAACTGCTGGAAGTCTTTTCAATGTTACATCAATATCACTAAAACGATTCATTATCGACGGCGTTGTTTATAATTCGAAGGAGTTAATTAAATTATTCCAGATTCTTTTTTTTTATCTATAACACAAGAATAAAATTCAATATTTGTTGATCTTGATAATGCGTCTGGAATGTGAAAGAGTATGTGAGTGTGGATGTATTACTAAGAACAGCATTTTATTTGCACATCGTCTCCCTCAAGAAATCGCAAACTGTCATCTTTACTTACGATCATAGCCTGAGTGAAAATCTAATCTCTGATCTTATAAATAGAAAGTCGGTACTTAAACCTCGCCTTATCCTTTTAGTCATATTCGAATTGAAAAATCCACTCGTAATCACACATAGGCTTTAAGTCTCATGCAAACGTAATCTCGAAATGACATTTATAGATGAGATTCGAACATGAGCATTCGATGTTTGGGCTTTGTTCATTGGTCGGCAGTAGTATCTGTAAATTACCCATGAGCTGAAAGAAATATGGCGGGTCGACACATCGTAATATCAAATACATAGAATTTTTTCTCTTTGAAAATTTTTTTGAGACGTGTTAGCATTAGAAAAATATTTTATCTATCGTCAAAGTCGAAGATATAGTATTTGGATGCTTGCATTTATTTTTCTATCGAATGCATGTGAACCCTCACGTCTTTCACTCAAAACGATTGAATTTGAATTAGTTGTATTTTAATGATTGGATTCTGATTCAAAGATGTCTATCGCGCTTGAAAACTAGCCATTGCCGTGCCGTCATGAGCATTTCTGTTTGAAAGAAGGTGAATTTGATATTCTTACGAATAACATAAAATATTAGTATTCGACTTTCTATATGCCTCAATACTTGCGAATATTTCGATTATATATTTACTATCTAAATATAACTCAATTTGTTTGACATTTTTTCAAATAATTTTAATATAAAACTTACCAGAATGAAATTGTTCCAATGAAATGATTTGAAAAAGCTTCTAAATCTCGAGGTGTATTGTGTATCTGTGCCTGTATGTTCTTCTTATCGTCGAATAATTCGTTTTATTTATTTTATAAAGTAAGAACATTTATAACTATTTCTACCAATGACGTATTTTATTACGAAAGAATTGTGCACACATTAAAAAAAAAGATTTTCAAGGTTAACAACAAACAAAAAATGTTATTAGGAAGAAGAGAAAAAGAATTCATAGGGTTTTAAATGCATCAAAATAAAAAAATGTTGGTAAACGACGGAATTTTTCTTAATAATGGAAAATAAATATTTCCTCCAAGTCAAACTGACTATAGAAAATAAAAAACAATTAAGGAATATGATTGGCGTTGTTAGGCAGAAGTAACAATCATATTTCATATTTGAGTTATATTTTTTCTAATCTGTTTGACTCATTCAAAAAATTATTTGAATAAATAAATAATTCCAAAAAAAAAATTGTTAGCGTCTGCAGGTGTCATTTAGTGACGTTATCGTTCATATATATATATAAAATATCATGATAAAACACAGAACTTAAACAACCAGCAAAAAAAGAAGTATGACGAGGTTTCTTGTGATGTTTTTGCCTTTCCCTTGATCTCATTTGTTTGTCCATCATTTATCCGTTTCGTTCCCTCGTCTTTTTTGAGTTGTTGGTGATCTTTTTTCTCTCTTTCTCCTTTTTTGATTTTCTAGTTGATCATGTTTCCTTGTTTGTTATCATTTCAACATGGTTCTAATTATTATATATCACTATCCGATGAAACAAATATTGTTTAAATAAAACTATATGTCTTGTATTTTTATCGTAATGATACCTTAATAATTGATAGTTAGATTTCAATGAAATAGAATCATTCGATATCTTTCTATTATGTTAAAGATTTGAACATAATTAATAAATATTTATGTTTGTGAAAAAGTTCAATATTATAAATATATATAGTAATAGTGAACTAAAAACTAGAAATCACTCTTGAATAAAATATAAATCGAAGTCAAATATTTGAATTAATAAGAATTTTCTATTGGCTGAGTTGATATTGAGATATTACTAACACCAACAGTTGTTGATGTCAATAAGAGTGGTTCTTTATTACGATCATTCATTTTTACTCGTGCTATTGTATCCTTCATCCATTGTAATGATTCAGTTACCTTATTATATATAACAAGATCTTTATAAACGATAGAAAAAATAATAACTAGTATATTTACCTTTTGTGAAAGATCTTGCATTTGTTTATCAATCTAAATAATAATTCAGCAAGTCTTTCGATGATTTTTAATAATAATTATTTTTAAATTCGTTTTTTCCTCTCAAAGTTTCAAAACATGACTTAAAAAGTAAATTTCCCGTATGATCAATTTGAATGTTAACATGATGTTAGTATAGAAACAAAGATTAGGTTCGAACGTGCATATAGAATATTACTTATTCATTTTTGTTCGATACTTTAGAATATTCATGATGTATATTCTCACAAGTTTTTTGCTTACTTCATTCATCTTTCGTTGTTGATCATACTCATTCATGCTAGTTGTGCTATACGAATGGTAATCGTTAGATATCATAGGATCATTCTTTGTAGCCTTTTCTACTTTTGATCGAGCGTAATTGTGAGTCGCAGCATATTCAAATGCATCCCAGTGATCACTTGTTAAAGTATTAGGTTCTGCGATCATTTCTAAAATATTTTGTTATATTCCTTAAATGGGACAAATCGAGTTATCAATCTTACTAAAATTACGTAATAATGTTATTGACTCTGTATAATATTTAACTTCAGTTCGTTTACAACATAGTTTTGAATAAATATAACGAATAAGTAGTATAATATGTGAAACTATAATTAATGGTGGATAAGCGCATGGCGGTTGTTCAAAATATTCACGAATAAATGAATAACGTTGATAACGCCAATAAAATTCTGTATTTTCTTTCACTTTATCAATTGTATCACTAAATTTTCTAATTGATTGTCTAATTATAATAAAAAACGAATACTTACGTAAAAACAGCAATTAATAAATTCAATATAAGAATATTAATGAATAACATATGAAATGCTAATAAAACATGTGTAGCAGTTGCTTCAGCAATAAGTGATTGTGTTCCATCACTAATTATCTCTAAATAAATATAAATAAAACAAAATATTATATAGTATTAAACTAGAAGAATCTTTACGATCAAGTAAATCTTTATCAGATACATCTCCATATATAAACCAGTATGGTTCATAAAAGATTTCTCTCAATATATCACTACCAGTAAATGGAATTTGTCGGTAAAGAATTAATGCACGAGATACAACACCATATGCAGCTATTGCAATGAAAATTATATAGAAAAAAGCAGCTAGATCACGAAGCTAGAAATGCATTTATTTATATATTGCATATATTATTTAATATTAATATACAAACCATATTTTTAAGCATAAATAATCTGGGTCCTACATGTTTTAAAGCTACAACAAATTTCAATGAGCTAAGATACCATAATTCAAGATCAAATGCCCATATAATTCTACAATAATACTATTTATCATATATATTACTCATATAAATAAACAAACCTTCCAGCAGTAAAGATTTTATCATCATATCCAGTATATCGAAATATTAGACCAAGATAAAATAATAAATATGGTGCAATATAAAATATATTTGTTGAAATTGTTAATATAGTTGATCCGGTTGAACCCCATCGTTCAACCATTCGATATTTATATTCATGAGTAAGCTTTATTAAAGAGTAAAATAAACGTTTTTATCAATTAAAACTTTACCTTTCGAATCTCTTCACAAAACATAGTTGATACTGTAATAATAACATAGATTTCAGTCCAATGTGGAATTCCCAATGTATCCGGACTATCAAGATGATAAAGCATCATATAACTAAATACAAGTAAAAACCAAATATAACTTATCTAAATAAATAAAAGAAATATGAAAGAATTAACATATTTGGTGTAATAGAAATTTATTTACAAAATGATAACACATTCTGATAAATGGGCTTCCGTGAAAATAGCAAAAGTGGATCCAGTATTTTTTAAATGCATTTTTAGTTGGTTCTCTATCGGCATAATAATTAATACCTTTTGATGATAATCTAAATAAGAAGTTAGATTAATTTGACAAAAAAAATTAATATCTATTTACGATATCTCTTGTGTATTCTAAAGGTCAAATAAAAAAAAATTATGAGTATAAAAAAGATCTTCGTGTACGTACAGATTCATTTTCTCGATATGAAATGATACATGGTGCTAAAAGTCCAAAAGTTATTATGGATAGAAACTGTGCCGGTCTTGTTAATGTTTGATTATTTGTCATAGATAATTGATTGTACCATACTTGAGTCAGTGTTTGATCAAAACAAGCTGTTCCGACTAGTTGAATATTTTCGCTTGAAATGGCAATCTAAAATTATATTTGAATATCGATACTAAAAATGTTTTTTGATAAATAACCTGCATACATGTGATATTACCAAAAAGTGGTACTTGTCGTAGAAGTAATTCACATGCTGATCGTTCATTATATTTGTAACAGTCATTGATAAAGTCGGCTGCATATTTTCCAAAGTCATCTGCTTGAATTTGAAATTTTTCTTTGAGATCAACAGTTAACGACTTTTTTGAATATTGTTTAAATATAGCTGAAGCTATCAAAGCAGCACATATACGAGATTGTTGATGAATGAGAAGTATTTTCGCCATTTCAGGCATATCCATGAATACTGACCATAAAAATAAATCACGTAATAATTTATTTTTTTCAAGTAAATTCTCCGTATTATTATTTTCACCTGAATCTTCTATGTCATTTTTTTTACGTAAATCTTTCTTATTATTTTGTTGATCTTGAGATTGAGTATCTTTATTATATTTTGGAAAAACTTGGCTGTTCTTTGAAGCATTATCGTTTATTGCACTATTGCAGCAACTACATACATAATTTGTCAGATCAATACAAATACGTTTTGTATATGTATTATATTCTTTTGAATAAATTGCTTCAATAAAAGAACCAATAAATCTATTTAACTTTATATCAAGTGTCTCTATTGTTTCCCTGATTGGTTCACCAAATAATTCTTTTATATAGCTACCATTGCTCTTTATTAAAAAGAAATTTTTCTACCGTAAGCATTAGTTTAATCTTATAATCATACCTTATTTATTTCCGCGAAAGTATCTTGATATAATTTTAATAGCTTTTCATGGCGTTGTTCTTCAACATTTTTAGTACAAATGCGTTTCAATGGATCAAAAGCAGCGGCAAGAAAATGTTCAACATGTCGAATACCAAAGAGTTCAATTGGACCAACACCAGCAGCAGGAAAATGTTCAACACGCTGAATACCAAGGAGTTTAAGTGGATCAAAACCAGCAGCAAGGAAATATTCAACAAAAACTGGATGATTTTCTATCAATGAATCTCGAAATAACTTTTTGTAACATGTCATATATTTCTATTATAAAAAAAGAAACAGTAAATTGTATACTATTAATAAATCTCACTTTACCTCTTTAATTCCTTTAATTTCTTTATTATTACTCTTAATTTTTTGTCGTTTTTTTAATATTGATAAAGCACCATCAAAATAGTTCCATTGAGATGCCAGATCTAATAATATATCTTCATCCTCTGCATACTGCTTATCTTGATTTTGCTCTTCATCTTCTTGTCCACTACTATCATTGCTTTCATTTTGTTCTTCATCTTTTTGTTCACTACTATCATTGATTTCATTTTTCTTATTTTTTACTTTAATAGAAATATGAAGTAACTTCGTTTTTATTTGATCTCAATACATACTAGTAAAAATAGCTTTAAATATTGTTTCTGCTACACTTTTATCACGGTCCATACGGAAAACATATAGTAAATGACGATTCTTTTTAACCAATATCTTTTGTATTCTTTCTGTTATTTCACTGATTTCATCGTTATCGAGACTAGGAAAGAATTCAACCAGAGCTTTTCTCACAACTTCATTTGATGGAGTACTAAAAGTAAAAATATAAATAAACATTTCTATCATCTAACAGATACATGAATTATTTAATCAGCTCACAATTGTTGATCATTCTTTGCATCAGCTGTTTGATTGATTAACGAAGCAAATACATCTGCTAAACGGCCACTCTCCTACTTATAAAACAATGTAATTCTTATTTTTCAACAGCATCTACACACTTCAATAAATACAATCGGTCGTTTTTTCCGTATATCATTTTGAAGAACTTCAATAGTATTCGTACCACCTTCAACAATAATTGTTACACCATAACCTTTCAATATTATTCATTCAAAACAATCATAATATTTCAATAATACATACATTTATGTTTATCATCTTTATCTTTCATTGCGTATTTGACTAAATCACTTCGGTGTTTATCATCTAGATAACCATCTAGTTTACCATCATCAAACAGAATACAATGTGTATGATTTCTTTCGATGGTTTCGTCAGTATCGTCATCATTATCAGAAATTTGTCGACGACGTAACTCTGGTGGATAACCCTATCAAATAAAACTACTTATGTATTTAACGAACAAAGTCATTTTATTGATACTTTAGTTGTATATTTTAATTCAAAACGTGTACTTTCATTGATTGTTCCCCATTTTGTTAGTCCAATACAAATAATTTTATTTGGATTAGCTTTCAATAAACGATAATGAGATATTCCTTCACCAATTAATTTTGATACACCATTATTAATACCAGTACTTAGAATCCAAGCATCTTAAAATAACAAAAAAGTTGTATATTTACAGATATATATATATAATGTCTGATTATATAATTTACTAGACGTTGCTGCAGCATCAATTATACCACGAATAATTTCTTTTTCCATTTTTTCAGTCATTGTGAAATATTTCGCACCACCATAAACACTTAAAATAAGAGATGGTTTTGTACGTCTACAATCACTAATAAGCAACTGATAGATAGGCCCCATACGTGACTGTTTATCAATTCGAATATATTTACAACCAATAGATCCAGTCGATTTTAGTGTACCGCATATAGTCACAGGAACAGTAGTAGAATGTTGGTGCCTAAATATCTTTGGAGAATTTGGTATCTCAGCATTGTTCTTGTTTGTCTTTTGTGATAAGCATTCACCATCAAAACTATGGCGTCGAACTAAGCGGCCACAACAACATTTCTTGTGTGCACCGTTTCTAGAAGTCTGTACTTTTTTGTTGTAAATTTTACAAGTACGACAGACGATTTGCTTAGCTTCTATGGCATCGCCAATCAATTTTTTCCATGATTCCTCAGATCCCATCTAAAACACTTTAGATATGGTTTATTCTTTTTAATGAAAACGAGATCGAGTAAATGTTACATAATAGTATGAAGTTTGATAAAAAAAACTTGTTCTTCTTGCACAAGAAATGAGAGAATGGATGGAATAAAGTGCGACGGTCGAATACTATATGTTATCGTCAAATTTTAACGATATTTTCTAAAAAATATCGTTAAAATTTAGCAATAGCATATATTATTATATGGTAGCATCTTATTTCATTTGTTCTCTCATTCCTTCTGTGAGGAAAACAAGTTTTTTTTATCAAACTTCATACTACTTTGTAACATTTACCCGATCGCACTTTTATAAAAGAAAAATAGTACATCATCCTGAGGATACGAGTGTAGATTCAATGAGAAATGGACCCACGCCCACCTTCAAGATGGTAAATAGTAGATAAATGAAGATTTAAAATCGGTTTGATATTTCAATATTTTGAACGATGGTTAAAAGCGGATTGAAATATGTTGATAGTAATTAGTATTGTTACTTATTTGGAAATTAGTATATGACGGCTGACTCATATGTAGAGACAAAGAATAGAGGTTAGTGTAAAAGATATCTAATCACTATGAAACTGATAGCACTCAGAATAAATATTGAAGATGATAATATCTAAGTATTCAATGTATAGATAATATGATTATTGAACTCAACTTAAATAAAGTTGAAATTAACAATATTATCATATATCACTGAGTATTGTAAGTAAAGTGACAAAGAGAAAATCATTCATATTGAAGTTATTTGCATATTTTTGAAACAATGTCTTAATATTTTAACATTATAACTTCAATACTCATTTCTTTGGACTTAACTACTTTTAATAAATTCGTCTTGATATATTTAATTAATCAGTTAAATATATATTCTGATATAGAATTACTAGATCTACACAGTAGATAGAAATAGGATGACTTTGAATGTGAAATTTAAATTTGAGAAAAGCTGATTCAGATTGATTTTGATCTTTTTGGGGGCTATACTTTAAGTAAAAAGTTTATGTTCCTCAAGGTTCACAGAGATAAAAATAATCTTTCATATACGTATCACGATAATAAATATGAATTTCTGAATATATTTAGTATATATCTTACGTATTACTACTTAATTCAAACAATGTATTTTCTCCTTTGTATGCGATATTCTACCTGTTTTGAAAAACTATCATGATCAATAGTAACTGTATTTTCAACATTAAAACTTATTCTTAATCCTGTTAAATGTTTTCCTATTAATAGACGTGTACTCTCATTCGAATAAGTATCATGCTAATAAAAAATATTCAGGAATGACTGAGAAATAAGTAATGTACACTTGTATTCATACTTACAGAGCGCTTCAACTAAAATAAAAATCAGTACTGACTTTGTTTGAAAGATATCTAAGATATGTTAGACTCATTGATATTGTGTATAATGTTGTCTATCAGAGTGTATTTTATACAGATAATTAGAATATATTTTGAAGAAAATATGCAATCTTTTTTATTTTAAATGCATATATATACTTACCAAGTGTTTTATTAATTGAAAAGATGTAACGGGTATATATTGTTTCAATCACTCCGATTCTTTGCTTGATTAATTATTAAAAAATGTTGTCATTCCCTTTTTCTTCGTTTATACATATTTACTTTCTCAATAGTGATGTGAACATGACTGAAATGGTAAAAGAACAATTGCAGTAAAAAAAATGTGTCGATGGTTTAATGTTAGCATTTCCTTGAAATAATAATTCTATAGAAATCGATATTCTAAAAAAAGATTTTTCTTTCTGTTTTAACCACATTTCCATACATTAGAGAACCGTAAATATGCGGCTAGACATAATATAAATGCATTACCTTTAGGTAATGTGGATTTTCCATGAAAAAGAAAAAACGTTCTTTTCCTGTTTTAAAAATACATGTCTGTTCCTTTAAGGCTCATGTTTAAATACAAAGTGATTTTAAATAAATGCTGTATAAAACGTTCAATTTTTTCTAAGTAATTTATTCAAGAGAATTCTAAGTAAAAAATGTAATTTTCTATATAAACTGTTATAAGGGTGTGGGTGTGAATATTATGCTTATCGCTCACTCATATTCACCCACCCCGCTCATGAAAACATAAACTAGATTTGTAGGCACAGTTTTCTTTGAATTTGCTTGACGATCATACAAATTGTAATATTATCCTTATGTTCTTTTGGTAGACCTTTCTCGAAGATTTTTGCAGCCTTCTTCGCAAATTCTAAAGCTTTCTCCATTTCATTCGGCAACTGTTCGCAGGCACGTGCCATATCTGCATATAACCGCCCGATATCAACATGATCCGAAGGTAACGAACGTAGATAATTTTCCAGACAATCTTCGTAATCTTCTAAGGCCATAGCTGATTTACATTCGTGAATTTGCATAATGTTAGCCAGCTTTTGTCGTGTACGAGATTGATCAGGATGTCCGACAGGCAAATATTTATCAAATAATAACAGAGCTTCTCGATATTGTTTGTTTGCTTGGTCATATTTTTGTTCAATCAGAGCAAGATTTCCTAAGCCAACGAGACAATGTGCTTTATAGACATCAGTTAAATTTGAACTACCAGGCCACTTGTCACTACCTCCCTTGTGTGCTTGTTCGAACATACGTAAGGCTTGGGTGTACGATTCAAACGCATGCTTCAACTTTTCATTCAGTTCGTAGGTAGCACCCAGACCAAGATGACAGAGAGCACATAAGATACAGTTACGATCTGAAACAAAAATATTATGCGATATAGGAGTCGGTGAAGTTTGTGCCAAGACTGCTTCATAGTATATAATGCTGAGATCGAATAGTCCTTTCTCCTGTGTTATTCTACCCAATAAATAGTAACACAATACCACTTTGTACGCCTTTTCAAATTCGAATTCGCTGGGTTTATCTCTATTGGAACGGACGTCTTTAAAAAATCGCAGCAATCCACAACTTTCATGTTTAGTATTTGATGGCAATTCATGCCTGTCTTCGTTTTCTTCATCCTCTTCCTCTTCGTCTTCTGTCTCTTCCGGTACATAAACCAAATTTTCCAAGTGTTGCAACAGCCGTTCATAATGAGTTTGTGCCTGATCAAATTTGCCTGATTGAAGAAGAATTGTGCCAATGTCTGGCAAAGTTATCAGTGGATGAATAAACTTTGTTTGCATGTGGTTGTATAGTTTATACCATTGGCTTTGAGATGTAAAGAGATCATCAAAAGATGCTAGTGTTGCCAAACGAACATACCATATACCTTTTTCGCCACGACGCACTTCAACCACACGAAACCGTGCTCCGACCATGAATAGTACCTCTTTCTCGGCTTCGCCAAAGTAACTATGTTCAGTGATACTGGCAAACGGTGTGTCAGAATCACCATGATTATCATTACCAAGATCTATTTCGACTAGAACTGGAATCGGTGACGAATCGCTAAAATCCTCACTCTCCCATAGATAATGCAATGCCATTTCTCGATCGAGACTGGTCGAAAGAAAGGTTTTCATAGAAATGATACTACCTAGTGATTTCCGTATGCTATTTAATTCATGTTTGGACATCTGTTGTCCGCGGTAGGCGTGTACCGATGACAAATCATATTTATCTTTGTTTATAAGTGATTTGCAAGAATTCTCAGCCAATTGCCGGTGTAAATCAATAATGAAGAAACGAAAAAGAAGAATTAATCGTGTATCATTCGTGCGAAGTGCCTGATTGAGTAACCTATAAACAAATGAATCTTGTGTATACCAGCATAGAGCTTGTTTATCCGTGTAGGTTTGTTCAAATTTTTCAATTTTAACCAATTCTATGGGCTCATTCTTGTATATGTCTCTACAGGCTTCCAAGAACTCGTTTTTACTTTTAGTAAATGTTGAATAATTATCAAAAAAACGAGACCTAGAAAACTCATTAACGACCTCATTAATCAGCATATTAAAATGTATGAAATCACCATTCAATGTCATTGACGAACGTTCATCAAATATATTAAATACGAACGGTTGTGTGACTTGAACATGTGCACGTAAATCAGCTAATATATATAAAGATGGTTTTTGGCCTGCCACATGTTTAACCTATTAGAATAGAAGAGATAAATATTGACGAAGTACTCTGCTGACAAAATTATACCTTAGAGAGAAGTTCTGACGGACGACGATTATAATATTTTTTATTCACATAGATACGTTTCACCTGAGCCAAACAATGGATTTGAGTAAGAAGTTTTTCGTCAAACATAATTTTATCAATGGTCGTACCAATGAGCATGAGTAAAATATGTTCATTCGAGACCAATTGTAGGCATTTCAAACAATCATCCGTTTCATGATCATCGAAGTAGAGTATATCTTTGATTGTCTGCCCTTCACACAGACTCTTCCCGTCTTCGACACTGAGACGTGATGTGCCGAGCCAAAAAACTGTATAGATTTTGTTCTTATTCGATTCCATCAATGATGCGAAATTTTGCATGTGTGTGCGTGTGTGTGTAATGGAAAAGACTGATTTAACGGCATTGCTCTGTAGAATGAGAAGAATTCAAATTTTTTTAAGCATTATGCAGACATCACCGAATTAAAATAAATTATTTTTCTTTCATGAGTTGCTTGCGACAATGAAGGTCTTCGCTAATGCTTTCTCTTTCTTCTCTTACACAAACAGTCTTTCTCTTTGCTTGTGTTTTGATGCATTCATATTAAGGGTGAGTGCGGATGTGGGTGTGAATGTGGCTTCTGTGTTCTTCGTTTACCCACACCCACACCCACACCCTTCAATGTCAGACTTTTTCCATAATATTGATAACAAATATACAATAAGCTACATAAAAATCAAAGATAGTAAGTATCTGATGATTGAGGAAAAAAAAGAGAATTTTATAATAAATCGGAAAAATTGTTTTCGAACTCTGTTATTATTCTGTGTCGTTCGTATCTACTCAATTATTTCCGTTTGGATTAATATTTTCATTTTCACTAAAACAAAATAGATAATATAACACGAAGAAATACTAATTTCACGATTAATATCTTCAAGTAAATTTTGTTCGTTAAGGCTCTACAATAGACTTGTAAATTTATATAATAATAAGAATATTTAAAAACGTACAATAGGTGATGATGTTGTTACTATTGTAACAGACTAAAATTTTATTTGATGAAGTATATAGTTTTAGATGTTAAATATTAATAATTCATCCTTTTATAAATCAAAGATAGATTCAGATGAAACTTGAAAAAATTATTAGTTTATACTAGACAGTGTTTTTATAAGAAGATAGAATATGAACAAACAAGTGTATTGGAATGTAGCACAATCAGTACAATATTTGTCGATCAGCAAGTTTACATTTAAATGTACATAATATCAGCACCTATTCATTAAGTTTAGAGTGAAAAAGGAGAATATAATGAAAGTTTTTGATTGGTTATAAATTATGTAATAATTAATAAAACAAAAGTCTGGCAGAAAATTGAAAATAAATTGGTTTAACTTACATACTTGGAACTTTGAGTTTTGAGAAACTTTTTCGAATTTCTGGCACAATTTACATTCAATCGAATTAATTGTTCAATTGTATTATTGCTCTTTTCGAGTATCAGTGCTTCTTTCATTAAAATTTCATTATGTTTTCGTTTCACTAGAGAATGAGTATGGGCGTAGGTTGGATGGACATAATACACCTACGTCCTCAAGAGAGGGGGGACGAGTTATATCTTTATAATCATCTGAATGCTGGTTTTGCCAGTATGTTTTTTTCTTAAAAGACTAAAATTTTTTTTTAGTTAAAGTTATTCTAAGTTGAATAGAAAAAAAATCCATTTACGTTGTTCATTAACGAGTTGAATTAGTTCATACTCACACAGAATATTTTACAATTCTTTTATATCAAAAAAAAGTAGTACAAAAGATATTTGCAAATAATTTACATAATTAATGTCATTCATTCAAAAAAATAAATAATAATGTAAAAAGAAAAAAAGAATATATGTATTTCTTTTCAGAAATGCACTAAACAATTTTTTGCATTCTTTAACAAAAACATCAACTGATGTCTATTTTTGGTTGTTATACTAGCATAAATATTTGTATTAATTATTATATATGATAAAACATGTCATACAGTTTAAATAATGTTTTGCTGCTATGTTAGAGGAAAGACTCAACGTTTTACATCTGTCAACACTTAAATTAGTACGCAAAAAGAATCAAAAATGGTTTATCGAATAATTATTCTTCTATTGATTATATTAACTCGTTGAAGACGGGTGACACTTATATGCGTCGTCGTTTCTGAATTTGTTGAAATCACAAGATGGCAACTATCTATTTATTATTCTGTTTCATATTGCTATAAACTTCCAGAATGTATTATATACACATATGTGTGATACATCTCAAACAGGAAATGAAGTTAATTAAAAAATTAATAATCAATTATTTCTAAGGACTTCTTTTTTTCTAGTTATTGATCAAAAGAAAAACAAGCCCATCGCCAAACGATTAAATAATTGGTTTACTTATTACAATCTCTGTATTTATAACATATTTTACACACGATATCTCACTGGCTTTTATTATGATCTTTTTGTTTAAATTTAAGAATTATTTACTCTATATTCATATAAGTTTTCTGAAACTATCTACAGGTGCACTCTCATTATAATTATATCAAATTAGATTTCCACTAAATGAACCCTTTTTTTTCCTATTCATTATTCTTTTATCAGTTTGGAAATACACCAGATGAACATTTTTTTTTCTAATCATTTTAATGTTTGAACGCACAAATTTCTGGTTATTCTTATTTACGTTAAATTGAACTGAGTAACTCGTTCATGTCACTGAAAGAAATATAATATTCAAATAATGACATATTTTTGAGGAAACACATTACTTAATAATCATAGAAAGAAACTACAGGTATTTGTTCTAAGTAAATTAACACTTTTTCATTATAATATTCAACTGGAACTTTTTCCTACGAGAATAAATGTAAGAATCTCACATGGTGATAGTTTTACATGAAAAATCTATCTACTTCTTTTCTTTTTTATTATTTTCTAGATGAACACAGTAAATTATTTAGATTCTTTACCAAAAGATTTAAATTCTACGCTTATAAATATTCAATCATGGTTTATTCCTATCGATATTCTAGTACTTATATGCCTTTTCTTGACTATTCTATTAGCTTCATTATTTTTATATATTATTTTTATCGATAAAAAATGTCATACAATTCCAATGATGTTTGTAGCTAATTCATGTTTAGCTTGTCTTTCATTTACGATTATTATGTTTTGGGTGACAATTATTATGCTTCACAATGATCTTAATCAAATTTCATATGCAGATTCATTTTGTATTTTTCGAGGTTATATCAGTTATGTTACCGCAAGTGAATTATTCTATGCATATTTCTTACAAGCTATTTATAGTTATATAAAAGTTGTTTATCCTTCTCGATTAATTTGGCAATCAGTGAGGATGCAAATTTTTCTTATTGTTATAACATGGATATCTCCTTTTATATGCATTTTACCACATGTACTTACTCATGAAATTAAATATCAAGTTGATGATCAAATATGTCAGATGCTACTTCATCTTTCCGTTGTAACCGTTTATAATGTATTTTATATCTATATAATACCAATGAGTGGAATTGTTATAATTTATATAAAATTAGTTCGATATGTTAAAAATATGCGTCGACGTGTTACACCTGCTAATACTTTAATTCGTGCACAAAGAGAATTAAAAATGGTTTATCGAATAATTATTCTTCTATTGATTTTATTAATACTTGGTTTACCTATTACAATTTTTGTTTTTATAGGATTTATTGGTGAACCATCAAATTATCATTTGCGTAAAGCGTATACATCCGTTGGAATCTCGTTAATATTTGTAATAATTGCATTATTTAAATTTACAGATCCAGTTAAAAATTCAATAATGAAAAAATTGAAACGACGATCGAATATTGTGGTAGCTATAATGGCATAAAAGAGAATAAGGAAACTGATTGATGAAAAAATAAACATGTTTGATATTGTTTTGTATTTCTAATTATTATTTAAAGAATTGTGAGAAATTTCTTGTTTTTCTTATTTGAATACTTCAGTTCATTTTTTTTCGTTATGTTATATTCACAATGAGAAAAGATAGATTCAAACTTGTTATTCCATGACGATGGTAGGTGCGTGTTTTTCTTATTCTACCCACACCCACATCCATCTAGTCGCAAAATAATACCAAGAATCTTCAAATTCAAAAATATATACATCGTCCCAGTTGAACCATAAAGAACGATATGCTGATGATTTTTGCTGGCTTTATATTCTTCTTTTTAGGGTGTGGGTGACCCTAACAGCAACACACACCCTCACACACCAAAATCAAGCTTTAGTTATTCATGAATAATTGATAAAATAAAATAGTAATAAGTAGTTTTTTGATTAAATGATGCAAAATGTTCGTTTGCCGGCTATTATTTACGTTTCGTGATTGTCGACAGATCATCAATGACAGCCAAAGACATAACAGGCTTATGCCATTCATCTCGACTTTCAACACCATGAAATCCACCTACCACATAACATGTCTTTTTCTCATCTGTATATTCACTTTCGAATTCTACCGGAGCGACAACTGAATGTAATGTAATCTCTCTGATGTTGCACGATGTTTTCGTATGAAGTTCATAGCAGAGTTGAAGAAACCAGCCAGTAAGTTGTGTCCAGCTCCTAGTAAAATAGAATTTATCAAAATAATTGTTTCATTACTGTGTTAGAAAATCAGAAAGGAAAATGTAAGAGGAATCACTCACCCTGATCCAAAACCAATGTGCTCGACGTTAAATATCTTGTCCCAAAATTCATTATCCACCTTGCCACGATAAGTGCCAATGAACTGATCGAGTATAGGTAAGAGACTGTCGACGTAGGTCGAAAAATCGTCGTTAGGCGTTGTAAAAGTCTTTAATTGTTCTGTCTTCTGTCGAAGAAGTAACCAATCATCAATTGTGCCCATAAAGTGTACTTTTCGGATGCCACATCTTGTCATCGACAATCCATACTCAAAATACTTTTTGAAAGTATTCATGATTGTAGCGCAAGACAAAAGCGATTCAACCTTGCCTGTAGTCGAATAGTTGGCTGTTAAAAGAGAAACAACATCGTTCTTAACATTTTTAGTAATTTCCACACGTATGCTCTCGAGAAATGCGTTCCAGCTATAGAAAAAAAGTAAACGTTTTCTTAGAAGTTTGCAAAATTAATGAAAGTCTATGAACTAATCTCTTACTCAGGATCCGGTTGTACTTGTTCGATGGTCAATTTGATCTTTCCATCATGATTGACCAAGAGATGTCGCAGTTTCTCAGCATTGTCATTGGCATATTTTGCAAAATAAATCGTTATCATCAACCACAGATCACTAAAAGACATGAAATAAAGACATACTATTACGTCATCAACTTACTCCGGTGAAAGAACAATATCTTCATGTGAATTATAGGCACTGAGATATGCACGAAATATTGCATGACCACCATAAGCAGGTGATGTGTCTGAAAATACAAACAAAAATGCAAATATACTCAAGCTATTAGATAACATGCTGCAAGCGTTTTTGATCTAGATTTTTTGTCTTCGCCTTTTACTTACACGGTCCATTTGAAATTGTATGTTGCACCTTGAATTGATCATTCTCAAAATTATTCCTATCCCATCTATCACTGGCAAGATAATCGATGACTCCACGAATCCAATGATCTGCTGGAGGTAAGTCCGTGGGTATGTCAGCGCTATATTGCTTCTCAATTGTTGGAAGATCACCACGAATGACGACTGTATGAAATCGTTCGTTTGCAGCACAAGCACTCATGATCACGAGCGTTGATGTAGATTGTTTGTGGACAGAAGAAAAATAAAAGAAAGAAAATATTATATATCTCTTTCGTTCTTCTGCACACTAATAGCGACCATAAACACATGGATACAAAATGTAATTGCAACATGTAATGTCTTTTTTGTGAAAGCATTTTCTCCGTCTTGACTTATTCTTTTTTATAACATATGACATTATCAACTGAGTCATTCATACGTATATTCTTTTTTTCTATTGAGTTCTTTAATGTATTATTCTGTGGTGTTTAACATTCTTTCCAACAAAGATTATTTCATCGTCATAAAATGCTTGATAAACAACAGAAAAGAAAAAAAAAGAGTCATCTATTACGTTTATTCTTTTAAAAATTCTTTCACTTACTTTTTTCTCCTGTGAAAAAAACGTTAGTGGACTGATTTACGGCTTCTGATTGAGATATGTTTGAATTTGTTTGGCTTGATTGTACTGCTGATTCCACTGAAGAAAATAAAGAGATTCAAAAGAAACTTCGTCATATCATTGAAAAACTGCGTACATTTGATAGTATTGAAACATGTGAAAAATATCTTCGAAATACTCCGAAAGAATCAATTATTTTAATCGTCTCAGGTGCTTTTGGTCGACAAATTATTCCTAAAATACATGATCTTCCACAAATAATTGCATTTTATGTATTTTGTCAGAACAAGAAACCTAACGAAGAATGGGCAAGCAAATATAATAAAGTAAATATAATAATTATTCTAAAAAAAAAGAATTTTTTTAATTATCTTTTAGCTTGGTATCGTCTGCACTAGTAGTTCAGAATTAATTACTAGTATCTCAAAAGATCAAAGTACTCGAACAGGTACAGAAGAAAATCCATTGATTTCTGTAATCAGTTCAAA